TTGAGGAGGTGACAAGTCTCATATTGCATGTTTATTATCTCCATATGATTCGTGAACGTGTCTGATCAACGCCGTTATAATCATCTGGTTAAAGACGACGTTTGACGCAGTCAAGACACGCCACTCCTCATATTAGATACTCTAGACATCTCAGGTCTGAGGATCCAAGAACGAACCGCTGTATGAGATTCAAGTCATGACTCTGTCCATGTGACAATCTCATGCGGGTCAACCAGTCACTCGTTCACAACGAGTACCCATGATTGTGAAATGCATCCAATGCATCGATCACACCTCATGCTAGTCTTAATTCATCATTGTTCCCACAATGATAACTGACCAGAGTGTTTAGAATCATTCTATAATGATTCAAGGATACCGAAATATAACAAACATGCTAATCATATAACGGGAATGTAATGCATTCATAAATCAATGAATCAATACAGAGTCAAAATGTCATATCACGGATCTTCCTAGAGTATTACAATTAACAGTGTAAACGTGAGTTTTCAATAATCTATTGATTGGACATGAAAGAGGACGTTCCAAGGAAGGTGTAGAAACAAACGGGGCTCAATTCGGATAAGAAACGAGTGAGAACGGAGCAATCGAAGTCAGTCGGGACGGACCAGAAATCTCAGAACGGAGAGGACCACGAACGAGCTAGGAGCTGGGCCGAAACTAGGCCCAGACCGTCCGTTCCAGGCCCAGAACGGATGGTCTGCTGGGCAGAACGCAAGTGGCCAACTTGCTGCCTTGGGACGCGTATTTCTCTGCGTTCCCAGACCCCACCGGTGTCAAATCACCATCCAACCTTGCCAGGACGTTGCAGGCTCGACCTTGGGCCTGGGCTTGAGCCCATTACGCCTCGCTCACGCGCAATAAACCTCCCTCAATCCCCAGACTCAGCCATTTCCGGACTGAAACCAGAGGAAATAGAGAGAGAGAGAGAAAAGAGAGAGAAAGGGGGAGAAAGGAGGAGACCCAGCGCAAGGGAAGCTCGGAGAAGCAAGGGGGGACATCCCTAGACTGTGTAGGAGAGGTTTCCGGTGAGGAACAAACCGGAAAACGCCACGAAATCCGGTCAAACCAGATCTGAGCCAAAACAGAGGTGAGTGGCTCGAGTTGCGTCTGTGTGAGCTCGTTTTTCGTCGATGTGATTGTGTTATTTCGATGGTTTGTTGCTTGGATTAGATAGAGGACATTCCAATGAACATTTAGCAACAAACGACACGTAATTTGGTGGAGAAATGAGTGAGATATGGCCAAACGAAGTCGGACCAGAAAACTGTTTCGCGAGAGAGAACAGAGCTGGAACTGACGGTCTGTTTTGGCAGACCCGACGGTCTTGGTGACCCAGACCGGACGGTCTGGCATCCCCAGACCGAACGGTCTGCATTCCAGACCTCAAAAATTATCCCGAGAGACCCCGGGACAGCATGGGACCACCCCTAGACCGACCGGTCCACACCCTGGACCGACCGTTCTAGGGTACGGAACCTTTTTTCGAACGATTTTCAAATTCCGCGTGTGTGAGATGTGTGATTCAACGATGTGAGTGACTCGTTGCATGACTATACGGGGTAGTTTGCATGACGTTAAACAGTAGATCGCTAAGGGGCCGAATACCGCGGTACGCGTGATTGTATTGGAAAGATATGCACGTTGATTGCCATGTTTGTAGCTCACTCGTGCGACGAGTGCAGCATGATTGTGTTTGTGATATAGTCGTGTGCGACACGACAACCAACATCATAGACTTGACGGGCGTGCGAGACGCCCCTAGTCATGGACTTCACTAGGGCTAGGGCAGAACCCTATGGTGGACTCCATACGGGTGTTGTGTTTATTGTGTTATGGACTTGACACGGCCATCGTCATGGACTTGACGGGCGTGTGAGACGCCCCTAGTCATGGACTTGAGTAGGGTTATGGCTGGACCCTATGGTGGACTCCATACGGGTATGTTTGTATTTCCGTTGTGTCATGGACTTGACATCGGAGGTCACGCGAGTGACAGGCGCAGGAGACGCGCGTAGTCGCATGTAATGCGATGACCAACGTCACGCGAGTGACGGGCGTGTGTGAGACGCTTCTAGTCATGTTGATATGACTAGGATCTTTGGCTAACCCTATGATGCGATGTCATATGGGTATGATTGTGTTTGACATATTTATGACTGATGTGATGTGGTTATACATGGATATCATTGTTGTTTGTTGGTTGTGAATTATCGAATTAACACCGGGTTCAACCCGGGCTACTCACTAAGTAGTTGTGCTTAGCCCTCGTGGTTTACATTTTTCAGATCACGAGGATTACGCCTAGCGCACCCGGCAGACGACGACCTGAGAGAGGCAGCATCATGTACGGGATTTACATTTTGGGTTACGGGACTCGTATTTCCCGCATTTTGTACGGTTAATTATAACTATTCGGACATGTGTTATTTTGCGATACTGATCGCCTGTTGTATTTTCCGCTGCTTACCCTGGTTTGTTTAAAAATATTTTTTTGGATTTCGTATTTTTGCTCCCCTATTATTATTTTATTACTATTTGTCCATGTGGCACAGCCCGTATACTGTACACGGGTTACGGGTGTCACAAGAATGTTATGGCCTAGATTTTCGCAGATTCCGGGCTGTAACAGGGTAAGAAAATGTGTCTGTGGGCTAATTCGGGACGAAACCAACCGGCCCAAACTGTCCGAGACCGAGATGATTCAAGAAAGTGCATGAGAGTCACATCCGGGAGCGTCCGAACTGTTCTAGAGAATTCAGGTCAATTCGGGAGGCGGGAAGATACGGGAGAATTCTGGAAGCTTCTAGAGACTTCGAGAATGCGTCTGAGACAGATCGGACGAGAGAGACTGAGAAAATTCTAGAGCGTCCAGACCACTGATTTGTGCGACCGACCTTGGGGAAGAATCTGGATGGACACATGGCACACTCTGGACCGTCCACTTGAATAAATCTCGGTCGTCCGTTAAGTTGGTTTGTAAGGTTGGCTCATGTATAAATAGAGTGGGAGAGTTGCTCGGGAAGGCCATCCGAAGTTGGCCAAAGTTCCCAAAAAGACTTCCCTTGTAATCCGACCTTTTGTACAAACACTTTAGTCAACAAAGCCCGATTTTCCCAAATATTCGACCCAAAGACTTACTCGTTACAGAGGAATTATACGAGTAACCCACAGATAGTTCGTGAAATAACTAAGTCTGGTACATGTGGTATCAGAACCTGGTTTCGATCCAGGGACATGTGGTTTATGGGCCCACCACGCGACGGAGTTGAACAATTTTTTCTGAGCTTCTCGAGGCTTCTTGAAATCTTGTTCTTTCGTGTCACGCTTGTGAGAATTCTTGTAGAATCATCCTGCAAGGAAAAACAAGCAAAAAAATCTATCCATGGCCATCTAACATCCTATAATGCCTAGAATGTGAGAAGAATTGAAGTGCGCGACGTTAGAAAACCGGTGAAAAAACCATGTGATCAATGATAAGATGTTATGCTCTTTGTAGGGATATCATTACACCTTTTTTCTGTGACAGCAAAATTTTCAGATCCAACCCGAGTCGTTCACTAAGTTTAGGTTTACCACCTCCCTCTGTTGACTAACTTTTCCAGATTTGGAAGAACACTAATATCTTGTACCAGTTTTGGATTTTATTTCGTACTTTGGGGAGATTGTCCCGTTTTCACGAATGTATTCTATGATTTTTTTTTTGGTTTTAAGGTAATTTGTATTATAAACTGAAAAGATAATAGAAACGAAAAGTACAAAGAAATTACAACAAAGAAATTACAACCGGACTTTTGTATGTCTACAAAAGATTGTGGAACCCAAAACAAAGTGGTAAGTGTTTTCCAACATTTGCATCCGACAAAAGTTCTATATGTGCATCTTTCGCGTTAAATAATACCAATCTGAAAGCAATGAGACTCTATCAATTTTAGGAGACAATCTTTTGACAGATAGTAGTATATTCCTAAGGTTCGGTCGATCTTCCATTTAATGTGATCTGACGTTCTTCACTTGTTGTCGAATATACGATGGTTCCTCTCTTTCCTTAACTCATAAATTGTAACCTGGAGGAGGATCTTCGCAATGTGCTTCTTGTTTCTGCCATCATCTGGTGTCCCGCTTCTCATCCAATCTAAAATTTTAAGAAGAAATTATAAAATTTTAATCACACCAGTGGGAGAATATGCCCTCATACATATCATCATGGACGCCCATGAACCTGATGTAAAAAAAATTTCATGTCACAACTTTCATATGTCACATATGTCACGTCAGCTCATTTGTTTAATTTGAGATGTGTAAAATAATTTATACATTATTTTAGACAATTTGAAAAGTTTAATGTTTTTTTATTCTAAAAAAATTTCAGATTTTATTTTATCAAAATTGAAAAAATACAATATTTGTTTTCGGTCAAATACACAGATAATTTCTACGAAAGTTTATTACGTTATCTTTTAGAATTTACATGTCGAGGGGCTATGCTCATATGGTTGCTTAGAAATATATAAAAGTTACGATAACCCTTCCTATCAATTTGGTTAATCGCATAAATTAATCAAAAAGTAATCTGAATTCCAAAGTTTCCCTATAACGTTCATCCAAGCATTTGCCTATAAATAACACGTCAACTCTACAAACACCATTCACAAAACACACACACACACAAAATATATATATATATAGAACTAACAAATATGAATACATTAGGACCTCTGTTTCGTGTCGCTGTCTTTGCTATCGCTATCGGTCTACAAGTCGTTGTCTCGAGCGGGCAAAACACGGCTCAAGGCTACCTGAATGCCCACAACTCGGCGCGTACTCAGGTCGGTGTTGCGAACATTGCGTGGGACGACACAGTCGCGGCCTATGCCCAAAGCTACGCCAACTCGAGAGCCTCCGACTGCAGTCTCGTCCATTCAAACGGACCGTACGGAGAGAACTTAGCCAAAGGCAGTGGCTCGTTTACCGGCACTGCCGCCGTCAACTTATGGGTCGCCGAGAAACTTTACTACAACTATACTACAAATTCCTGCACAGGTGATATATGCATATAATAGGAAGCAGATCTGACCAATAATGTGAATTGTGTCAAGATTCAAGAAATTGTTTACCAATTACACTATTATAACAAATAGGGAGTATAGCCAAAAAAAACATGAATTTTTAAAATTTAACAAATAAATATATGAATTATTATTTTCGTATAAAAATACACAAATTTTGAAAATTTTTGTATAAATCCATACTCGTTTGTATAAAAATACACAAAACTCGAAATTTAATTTTTTTTCCATACAACCACACAAAAAACCAATCGAGTTTAGTGGTTTTGTGGGTTTACGCAAAAAAAAATCAAATTTTGTGTATTTTTTATACAAAATTAGAAATTCATATATTTATTTGCAAAATTTAAAAAAAACTCGTGTTTTTTCTATTTAATGTTATAACGGTAGAAGTGGTTTGACATTGGGACAGGAGGTAAACAATGCTTGCACTACACGCAAGTGGTTTGGAGAGACTCGGTCCGTCTAGGTTGCGCCAGAGTTCAATGCATCGATGGCTACTGGTTCGTTACCTGCAACTACGACCCTCCCGGCAACTACGTTGGCGAGCGCCCGTATTAACCGATGTTATAACAATTGTATAAAGTCGGTCCAACGAGTGATAAATAATGTTTTTTTTTTGTAATCAAGTGTCCTGAATCAAGATCCAGACTAATCTCGGAATCTGATAATAAATAATATAAATAATGTTATGTATCTATATTATGAATAACAACTTTGGATTCGGGTGAATCACAGCCAAAGATATACAAAAACCTATTTTTGGGTTTCAATAAAAATATGTTCTTTTATCTTTAGAAATGAGTAGAACTAAAGATTACAATACTTCACACACGGCATACACAAGGGATTGAAATTCCAGTTCAGAACGTGCAGTGCACCGAATCGAATCGAGTAAAACATTATCGTAACTGAACCGGATCAATATAAAAATCGAATGATTACAATTTCTTTAAACTCTAAAAAAATCGGATATGAACCGAACTGATTAAAAAGAATAATTGAAATACCCAACAATTTCTTTGAAAAAAATGATTTTTTTACAATAAAAAATCGAATGCTAACCGGACCGAACCGAAAGTAATCGAACCAAATCGAACCGAAATTTATATAAAAACCGAATGGTTATAATTTTCTTCTAATCGAAATATCCGAATATAACCGAACCTAAACCCGAAATGGTCATCCCGATGTATAACCATGCAAAACGATGTCGTTCGCATCAGTAAGGTTTCTGTCCAACGTGGTTGCCTGGAGGATAATAGTTGCAAGTAATAAAGGTCCCACCATTCTTACATCTAACCTTGGCACAGCCGATCCGTACGGTATCTCTCCAAGCAACTTGCGTGTAATGCAAGCAAGTTCCGCCGTACGGCGCGTGACATGTGGCGTTATCATCTTCGTAGTACCGCTTCTCGTCGACCCACATCTTGACGGCATCCCTCACCAACAGCTCCCCGCTGCCGCACGCTATGTTTTCCCCGAATGGTCCGTGGGAATGGATGAGGGCGCAGTCCTCGGCTCTCCTGGACGCATAGCTCGCGGCGTAGGCCGCGAGATCCGCGTCCCAGACCACCTGATCGAGCCCAACCTCGCGCCGGGCCTTGTTGTGGGCGTCCAAGAACTTGCGTGCCAAACTTCTGGCCGATTTCGGACGACGATGGCCATCACGTGAGATCACTATTGAGAAATCCAGGGCCGAGGAAGGAAGGATTAGCCTGAGGCATAGCGTGATTACAAAGAGAATCGCAATGCTGGTTTTGTGGATCATGTTTGCTTTTCATCCCTTTTTGTGTTCCGGGAGGGGGAAATAGCCTAATGAGAAAGCGTAATTTATAGGATATTGAGGAAAATATTAATATTAAAAATTTGTGGTTCTTAGGAGTTTTAGATTACAACGTATTCGCAAAATTATTTTTTTACTTTGTTGCATTCAGAACAACCCATAAACATAACCGAACCGAATTACCGAACAATTATAATTTTTTTAAAACCGAACTCGAATCCTAACTGAACCGAATAAAAAAATAGCCAAAAAAACTGTAAATTTCCTGACGAAAATGAGTATTTTTATCATAACTTAACCGGATATAACCAAACCGAACCGAATCGAATCAAATCAAATCGAATTCAATGTAAAAACCAAACGATTAAAATTTTTCTAAAAACGAAATAATCGAACTCGGATATAACCGAACCGAAACCCGATTAAGCTAGTGAAATAATTAATCTAATCTATCTATGAGTTTAATGGATCAAAACTTATTTAATACATTTAAAAAATAATTCCATTTAAGTTTATAATTGGATCCGTTCAGCCGGCATAAACTAGACATATTGACATCCTATCTAAAGCAAAATAACAAAAATAGAAAATGTAAAAAATGATGAAATTAAGCGGGGGCATTTACAAAAATGACTTTAAATGTCATTTTGACTTCAAGGGTGACCTTGAAATTTTGATAATTCCAATTTTGTCCTTCAATATAATAATTATATTTTATTGTTATTTTATTCAGGAGACTTTATTTCGTTTTCGAAAAAACTTAATATTTCTTTTATTCGGTTTAGCGTTTCTTCTAAAAATGGGAGCCAATGTCCATTATAATTATCTTTCGATGAATGTTTTCTAAAATATTCAATTTTTATTTCTTTTATTGTAATTAATTTATTTAATTCTGTAATTATATTGTTAATTTGTTCTTTTTCTATTGTATTTTGTATGCATCTTAGTTTACTTTCTGTTTCTAAATATTGTATTGGTGCGTTTAATAATTCGATATTTTTCTTGTATATTTTTTCCATTTTAATCGTCAGAATTTATAATATCTCGTTTAATTTCTCTTACTGCGTTAAATATTGCACTAATCATTCTTATTTTTCGATTTTCCTTATTAAGTTCATTTCGTTCAATTGTTCCATAAGTTCGTTCTCTGAATATACTTTCTATAGTTTCAACTAATAATTGTTCAAGATGATCTAGGCATGGTAAACTTTCAAGATTTAATAAGGATAGTTTTTCGATAAAGTCTTCGTTAAAATTCATTTTGTAAGATTATTGATTTGTGATATTGTTTTTCGTAATTTAGAGTAATCTTCCTGGTTTTCGTCTGATTGTTCAGTGTTGAATAATAGAGATGGTGATTCTTGTATACTTAATCTTGGGTTAAGTCGTAACAACGATTTCCGTCCTGGTTCTATTGCAGTTAATGGTCTTTTTAGACAGATTACTGGTTTAAATAAATCATCTATTTCTATAATCTCTTTGTTTCTAAAATTTAAACTGTGATGACTATTGGTTAATGCGTAGTTAATCTGATAGGTTATAGAAAAAGGGTGATTTCCTTTTTCCATGAAATCTGTTCTATCTAGTTTGTATTGGATAACTATTGAATTATCCAAGTCTTTATCTTTCAATGATAATCCGAGTTGTATATTAATGTTAAATTTAATTTTTCCAGAAGAAAGATTTCCTTTTCCTTCGGCTATAATACTTTCTTTATAATTGGTTAATCTGTCATCTCTAATTTGAAAGGTAATCGGAGAATCGATACCTTCTTTGAATGTTGATTTTATAATTATTTGAATAGTACTACAGTGTATGTAGGCTATTTGTTTTCTTTGTTTTTCGGGACAATTTCTGAGTCGTTCTAAGATTTGTTCTTTGTTAATAATTGGTAGAATGAGTTCTCCTGTAGTTTGTTCAATTGGTACTGGTGTTTCTCCTACCATTATTCCAAACTTTATTATGTTTGTTCTTGATAATTGTTTTTTTATTTTTCCTAGTATAGTTTGTTCGAAGTTTTCATCTTTTTGAAGATCAAAGCTTATTTTTCGTATTTTGTTTATATCTATAATTCCATCAAAGAAGTATTCTTCATCTGATTGTATAAAATTATCGAATACAGAAGTTGATGCCATACCTGATTCGCTTTTGTAGATAATCCCTGTCGGTTGGTGTTGGTGAAGATCGTTTCCTCGTTGGTGATCCGGAGATCTGATCGGTTTTTTGATATTGTTCAGGGGTGGTGTTTAGTTCCAGAGTTCTGGAGTAATTGGTTTGTGATTCAAAAGAATCTATTCAAGGCCTCCAGAAGATATAGATCTTCAAGCCAATCTCCTGAGAGAGATCTTTCAGAGAGAGTTCTGAAACAAATTCGTTTATTTCACTCTGAGTTCTCCAAACGGAGAGAGCTCATATTTATACAACTTTGGAACCCTATCGGTTAGGATAAGAATCTCAAACCGGGGCCCGACTTACACACATGGCATTACATAATTTTACAATAGAGATTACAGAGATAAGGTTCATGATAACCTTATCTTTTATTGGGTCCGACATATTACAACAACTAGTCACATTGTTTCTTTATTTCACATGTCTTCAGACTTTTCTGATGGTGGTTGGCTGCTCCTTTTTATCTTGTCCTTTAGCTCTTTGCAGATAGTGCATTTGTGGTCGTCATACCTCATCAGGAAGCTACAGAGTTGTTCCTTGATAGATTCCTCTAGTCCTGCGAATTTTCCTTCTAAATGATAGAAGTCTAATTCGAAATCTGCTACTGCTTGCATTTCTTCCTTCGAGATAATTTCTTTGTTGTAGGTGATCATTAGCACATTACTGCTAGCATAATTGACTTTGATCTCTGAATCCGCAAGGATCCTTCTTGATGCCTTAAAGACTTCGAGTAATGAATGAGCTTCTAAATCGTCTGGAATCTCATAATCTGATGCATCATCTCTTGGAGGCAATTCTCCCTTTGCTACTCCAAGGTGTATTACTGCCTGTGACTGTATAATCTTATCCTTTCCGAAGATCGGGATTGAACTCTTAATCTTCATGAAAATAGTTCTTTCCTTCGCGAATCGTTCAAAGTAATTTCTGATAATTGGTTTCATCTTTCTTGGAAATTCTTCGAATATTTTCATCGAATCAGTGTAGATACTGTCGACTAGTCCATGTTGAAGGTAATCAAATGCTAGTAATGGGTTGGCTTCTCCAATGAAGATAGCCTTTGGTCCGGTTCTGGTCATTTTCGGGTAAAACCCTATGGTAGTGTGTTTTTCTTTGTAATCCACCAGAGACGCCCAATAGGACTGATATTTTTCGAGGGTTACCTTTTTCAGGGCCTCCTTTTCCTGTGTGGTTGGTATTTGAGCTATTTTGGGTATTTTCATTGAGGGTAGTTGTGCCCTTGGTTCAACTGGTTGTTTTTGGGCCATGGTTTTGTATGATTCGTTGAGAGCTTTCTGAGCCTCTTCTTTAGTCTGGAAAGCTTGGTGCGAGACTTTCTTTCCGCTGGTATGTTGCGAAAATATTGCATAATCCGCATATACTCCTCTGAATGGTCCACTGAAGATAGCATACCATTTGTTTGGTTTTTCTTCCACCTTGATGTCGGTAGGAAGTGTTAGGAGAAATTGAACTAACAAATAATGTACATGAAAAAATACAACAATTTCCTAACGAATTAACAGACAGAAAACAAATACAAAGGTTCCTTGGGTGCCTTAACTATGTTTCCGAGCAGGGATTTCTCAAATCCCTAGCAAAAGAACGAAAACAATTACAAAAGAAAATATCAGACAAAATACCATGGTCTTGGACTAATCAAGATACAAATTTAGTAAAACATATAAAAGAAAATATAAAGATATTACCAAAATTATACAATCCAACGACCAAAGACTTTCTGATTATTGAAACAGATGCATCCAAAGAAGTTTGGGCAGGATGCATGTTAGCAATAAAAGATGGAAAAGAATTACTCCATCTTGACCAATACGGTCGTACCAGTAATAATGAAGTACCAAAAACCGAAAAACAAAATACAATATTATGCAATATTTTCGCAACATACCAGCGGAAAGAAAGTCTCGCACCAAGCTTTCCAGACTAAAGAAGAGGCTCAGAAAGCTCTCAACGAATCATACAAAACCATGGCCCAAAAACAACCAGTTGAACCAAGGGCACAACTACCCTCAATGAAAATACCCAAAATAGCTCAAATACCAACCACACAGGAAAAGGAGGCCCTGAAAAAGGTAACCCTCGAAAAATATCAGTCCTATTGGGCGTCTCTGGTGGATTACAAGGAAAAACACACTACCATGGGGTTTTACCCGAAAATGACCAGAACCGGACCAAAGGCTATCTTCATTGGAGAAGCCAACCCATTACTAGCATTTGATTACCTTCAACATGGACTAGTCGACAGTATCTACACTGATTCGATGAAAATATTCGAAGAATTTCCAAGAAAGATGAAACCAATTATCAGAAATTACTTTGAACGATTCGCGAAGGAAAGAACTATTTTCATGATTCTCCGTTATTATTTATTTTTAAACCAAGATATTCAATTTCTTGTTGTACTAATTTTGATTTCTTTTTAGAAATAATTAATCCTTTTTCTTTGCATCGTTCTAGAACAGTGATTAATTTTTCAGTGTGTTCTGATTGTGATCCGTTTGTAAATATTATGATATCATCAATGTATGCTAAGCAATATTCTTCTAATCCATGGAGATTTCTATCCATGAATTGTTGATATATTGCTGGTGCTTGTTTTAATCCGAATGGAAGAACATTCCATTCATAATGTTTTTGTGGGGGGCATGAGAATGCCGTTAATGGCTTTGTTTCTTCTGATAATCGAAGCTGCCAATATCCTGATTTAGCATCAAGACTGCTAAACCAGTTTTTTCCTTTTATTCTTTCGAGAATATAATCTTTTCTCGGTAATTTATAACTATTCCCAATAGTTGCTTCATTTAATTTTTTATAGTTTATTACCATTCTTCTTTTTCCTCATTTTATCTCATTATTAATTTCTACATAGAAAGCTGGAGCCGAATGTGGACTCGTGCTTTCTCGTATAATACCTTTATCTAGTAGTTCTTTACATTCTTTGGTGAATTCTTCTACATCTCTGTGGGTATATTGCATTTTATTTGGTACATTAATTTCATCTTCGGGGTTTTTTAGTTTTATTACTATTAATTCTTCATTTGTATTTTTTATATCTAATGGATTATCACTACATATTTCATCAAGTTTTTGTTCAATATGAGTCATACTTATAAATGTTAGTCTGTTTTTTAAATCTTCTATAATAGATTTTATTATTTCATTTTTTGTTATTATTTTTGTCGTAACTAATTCTGATTTTTGGTTTTCTATTTTAGGTGCTTTCAGGCTGACCGTTTTTATTCTCTGTATAAATGGTTGATATAATTTTAGAAAATTATTTCCTATAATTATATCTAATCCAGAATCATGTTGATATATTGTTTTTGCTGGAAATATTTTAGTTTCTATAGTTATTGATACGTGTTGAGCCACATACCAGATTTCATGAGCTGATTTATCAGCCACAACTATCCGTAGTGGTTTCTCTAATCGTACCCATTTTTTGATGATATTTCTTTTAGCAAAACATAAAGTTGCTCCAGTGTCTATGTATGCTAATAATTTTTTCTTTTCAATAGTTATTTGTATGAATGTTGCATTAGGATTTCCTGATTTTAGTATTTTTCTATTCATTTTCTGAATCAGATGATTCAGTGGTATATGCATATATTTCGATATCAGAGTCAAACTCTGAATCTGATTCGATTGGTTCAAAGCCCATATCGTATGCTATTCGTAGTATTTCTGTTTCTTTTTTCTTTCCTTTTTTAGGACATTCATTTGCATAATGTCCCTCTTCTTGGCATAGCCAACATTTACAATTCTTTTTCTTAGAAGGACAATATGTATCCTTCTTACCATAGTTTTTCTTTTTGTATTGTTTTCTATTTCTGAAATATTTTTGTGGTATGTATTTTTGTTTCCTATATTTTTTATAAGGAATTTTTCTCCATTTTTTTTTTTTTATGTTTTTGGCGAATAGGTTCAGAACCATATTTGCCTATTTGTCCTGGTATTGCACCACAACATAACTTATCGATTTTTGCCTCTTGTTTTCGTTTTTCTTGATTACATTGAAACAAATGCCAATCTTTTAATGTTGTTATTCTTCCTCCTAGAGTATTGGGAATTTGTCCCTCATTTACTTTATTCTGGTATATGGTTTTTATTTCTTCTGATATTGATAAAGGTAGTTTATCGAAGAATAATTCTTCGGCTACTATTTTCTTATCCGTTGCTAGTTGATAGTAATGATCTCTAAATTCGCAAATGAATGCTTCAAGATAACACATGTTACAAATTCTAAGATTTACTATTTTCCATAGTGCAACTTCTGATATTAGTGTTTCTCTTAATTGTGCGTTAGAAGTTCTTCCAAGAAATTCTTCTCCTATTACGTCAATTAGCCTAACAAATGTTTCCCATGCAGTTGATCTTAGAATTTTCTCTGCTTTTATTCCTGTTGATAATCCTATTAAATAGTTGTATACTATTCCTGTTGTTTTATGTTCTAAGTAACTTAACATTTCGTGAGGGTGTAAATCTCTTAGTTCCTTATTAGTCTGTATTAACAAACTTGTACGATTTTTCCAATCTTCTAATGTTCTAGTTGGATTAATTTCACAATCTAAATTTAATATTTCTGAAGATTTTATATTAAATGTATCATATTTGGGAATATATTCAAAAGGAACTTTTCTCCAATTGTTTCCTTTCGGAATATATTGGTTTTGATATAGTTCATATTCATGATCTTTGTATCCTTGATATTCATCATGTGTTCGTTTTTTAGGTAATGTATTATTATTACTATTATTATTACTGTTCTCCCCCCTCTCTAGTTCGGTTTTTACTAGGAAAGGATTATTATATGGATTTTCGTAAGGGTTTTCATCGCTGCTATAATCTAAGACAATTTTTTCAGTTTCATCAGGTTGCTCTTCTTCGGGTATATTAAGAGCCGCTAATAATGTTGATAATCGTTCTATCTGATCATCTAGTCCTTCCATTATATCTTTGGTGGTGATCTAATTCGAAAATTAGATTTATCGATAATAATTAATTCTTTTGTTTCTTTTTTAAAATAATTTTGTAAGTCTTTTATAGTGATATATCTATTTTGGTTAAGTCGTTCGATTATTTCTTGTAACTGTTCTATTATTTCTAATATTTTTGGTTTTTCATTTTCATCTGGATCTATTATTTCTTTTCCGTTATTTCTTATAATAATATTATTTACTAATTCTTTAGCTTCGTTAAGTTCTTTTATTATTTGAATTTGTCTGTTATTATTACTGTAATTATTTGTTGTTGTGAGTATTTCTTTGATATTTAGTAGTAATTCTTTTATTTCAACAATATTTTCTTTAATTAGTTTTTCTATAGTTTCCTTCATAGTTTCTGTCATCCTATTATTGTTTTAATATATTCTTTTAATTCCTCAGAGTTTTGTTTTATTTCTTTAATACTTTTTTCTTGTAGATATATTATTTCTTCTAATTTTTTATTTATATTTTTAGTTTCATTTTGTTTTTCATGGTTTTGTTCAAATATTTTTATTAATTTTTGTAGCTGATTTTCTAAATCTGATTTTATATTTTCAATATTTCTTTTTATTTCTTCGTGATTTTCTGGATTTTGATGTATGATTCCATAAGAAATCATTTCAACAATATTATTTAAAGTAAAACCTATTTTCTTTATTTTATTTCCGAGATTATGATTAGTATCATCGTCAAAGATGGTACCAATATAATATCGACTTTGATTATGAAGATTTTTAGGTATTGTTATCACCTTTCCCTTATAAGGAAATCCGGGATAACATTCATCTTCATTGGTTAATATTAATGGTAATCCCTTCGAAAAATCAATTTTTTCGTTGTCCATAATCGTTACCTTGCTCTGATACCAATTATTTTTGTAACGTTAAACTTTTTAGTCAAACTAGTCAAACTGATCATACCATTTGAATTGGTCATACTAGTCATACCAAAAATTTTTGGTCAGACTAGTTATTCTGGTATTTCTGTAATTTTATTGAAAATATTGGTTTTTTGGGAAACCCTAGAAATTCTAAGGGTATGACTGTTGCTCTTGTCATTTTTAAGGTTATTTTTGTTATTTTGCCAATTAAGCGCAAGAGGAGAACAAAAAAAATAAAATGAGCAACAAATAAATGAAAAATTGAAAATAAGAATAAAGTCCAAACTAATGAGTTTACTATGTTTTAAATCCTAATCGCTGACAATAATGATATTTTTAGATATATAGGGTTCATTTATGCTTACACTTTATAACTCAATAATTATTTTTTTTATAATTCAGAAATTCATTTTTTTATAATTCAAAAATTCATTGCACCTTTGACCCAACTACTATTTCTAGAGAATTGGACAACTACTATTTCTAAAGAATCGGAAAAGTCCATGTGAATACCCTCTTCAAGTGAAGATTCGAACCATTGGAAAGGAAATTTGCTTCCACTCTTATCGGTTGAACCACTGAATATTGGATAACTCAATAATCAATTACTTCTATATAATTTCTATATAATGTTCATTTATGCCTATACTTTATAACTCAATCAATTATTTTTAATCATCACAGTAACAACACTGGTTATTCATTACCACAAGATTATAAGCCTTAAACAAAATTATAAGTTCGATAAAGGAGCGAAAGAGAGACGCCATCTCCTCAAGAAAGCCTAGGTTTCAGAACGGCTTTGAGAGGATAAAGCTTCTGAGAGGTCAAGCCAAGTGTGTCCACGTTCTCTTCCTCGCCATCAATGAGCTTCCATTGGAAATCTTGGATCAGCCTTCCAATGGCGACGCACGCGATGAGAGACGCTTGGAGAGCGCCTGCACACACCCTCTTCCCCGACCCGAAAGCCATCGTCTTGTGCAGGTCGAACGGATCGCATTTCCCGTCGAGGAACCTCTCGGGTTTCCACTCCTCCGGATTCTCCCAGCGTTTCTTGTCCATGTTGCATCCGTAAATGTTTATCGCAATCTGCAAAATTTGAGATTACATAAACAAACCTAGTGATCCAAATAGTGACCGGATCGTGCACCTGATCTCTGAATTAGGGGTGGCCACGGATTTGATATCCAGTATTTTTAGGCTATCCGAACATCTCGCGAGATATATGCTACCCGATCTCGAATCCATTTTGATTGACCACCCGAAATTGAGATATTCGAGATCATTATTGGGTGCCTTGATACAAGTACCCGAGTTTAAATACGAAATTTTGAATTTTTTTTATATTAAATCATATAATAGGTTATTGAATCCAAACCCGAAATTTCCAGAGATTTAAGTATGTTTCTATGTAATATCTCTAGGTTAGGACAAAAATATCATTTCGGGTACCATAATACCCGATCTTGAACCCAATTATCCGAACTTGAACCCGATTTTCAAGTTTTCATCTCATCTCATACAGTGTTTGAACACCAAACACTAGGAAGATTTGTTCGGTTAGTGTTGGTAAAGTTTCCGCCTTTTCCGAGGGGAACAAGAAAGTAAAAGGGAAGTGAATGGCATACCTCACTCCCCGCCGGGATATGATAGCCGCCGATTTGTGTATCCTCGTGGGCGTAGCGAATGGGAACGAGAGGAGCCGGGCTGTACTTCCTGAGCGTCTCATGGAAAACACCGTTGAGATAAGGAAGTTTAGGCAATTGCTCTTCTTTGACCTTCTCTCCTCCGCATACCCTCTGGATTTCTTCCAAAAGACATTCCTGATAAACGAAAAGCACATCGTGGGCATGTGATCGTAGAACGGTAACACGAAGCGGAAGCAAGGTGATAAGATACGGTTTAGAGAACGAGACCTGGAGATTTTGTTGTTTGGCGAGTTCGTACAATGCCCATTCCGTCGTGACCAAAGTTGTGTCGGAGGTCTCGATGATCGTTTCCCAAATCAAGATGGCGATTTGTTCCATCGGAAGTGTCTTGGCTTCAGACAGCAAGAAGCTGAGGTAGCTATCGTCTTCCTGTTCCATAAACCACGAAGAAAATGGAGATAAGAAGAAACTAAAAAAGCAGAGTTTCAGATCTAAAAATGGAGTACCTTCTGAGAATCTTTCTGTTTCATTTGATCTTGAATTAGCGCGTTCATCACTGCGAGCCTGCGAAAATGCTTCTGTTGGATTCTAGTTTCGAATTGCTTATTCGGGATCCATCTCAAATACGGGAAAAAGTCTCTCCAATCGACATCGATAGCGCCCTCCATCATGTCATGAACTAGAATCTTGAATATCTCTTTTCTCGACAAAGTCTTGCCAAGTTCCTTGACGTAAATGGATTGCACATCCTCTCCCAACGCCTACGAAAACCTCTCTCTTTACTCGTTTCCTTGGATAAATCATATCGGAAACGAGAGACAAATAAGGATATAGAAAACAACACTCACTTGTTTCATCGACAGTCCAAAAAGCTCGTACTCGAATATTTCCCTGAAGTTCACGGGTTCTTGAGGATGGTTCCTCACGAAGGAGTGCAACTTGGAAGACACATTTTCAACGAGGGCGTCCCTATAGTATCGTTTCCGTTTCTGAAAACCGTCGTGTAAGACGCAAATTCAAATATCAACAAAATATACCAAGGAAGAAATGAAATGGCAACTATATATATACATAACCTGTGCATTTGGACCCAAGAGGCCATTCAAGAGACATTTCTTGACCATTTTGTGGAAATCATCATAATCACTAGTGGCTACCATACTCTTATTGCAAGTAAGGACTTCCAGTGCATTTGATAGTTTCCTCATCGAAATCGAAGAAAACCGAGTCACCATAGCCTGAAACAAAAGAAGAAAGGATTATCGAATGCTCCCATGGAGTTGTCATTCGAAGGCCCGGGCTACTAAGATACAATCCCGGGCATGAACTCTTTCATTGCCATAACCGAAACTATACACCTTCCACAAGGAGCTATACATACATATAATCAATAAGATCTTCCAGTGTTCATCAATGAGAATGGCGGTTTTAACAGGAGGAGGAGTGTGGAGAAGCTAACCTCTTTGGCCATATCGGCGGAATTGACAACGATGACGGTGGAAGCGCCGGTCTTGATGGAGTAAATGGGACCATAAACCTCAGCCCATTTGGTGAAAGTCTTGTTGGGTTTCTTCTCTTTCAGCTGCAGCAAGTTCCCTAACAAGGGCACTCCTGGTACCACTGCATCACCAATCGCAACACATCTCAATTGATGATGATCCATCAAAATTTCTCACAATAAGGGCAGTCCGGAGCACAAAATGTCCTCTTGAGTAGGATCTGGAAAAGGTCCCACCACAAGAGTGCCTTGCAGAAATATTCTACACGAGGTACTTCTCGGACTTGAAACCGTAACCTCTAGGTCACAACGGCAACACGTTAACCGCTATACCAACAAGATCAGTTTCCTTAGTGTTCTTTTATCATAATTCAAGATTGAGAATGCTGGCCATCGCCTCCATATGTTTCTGCACTTTGGAACCACTATGCAGGGAGGTGCTGGCCATCGCCTCCAGCAGATATACAACTTTGTACATCATGGTTGGAGGGTCAAGCTGATACATCACGGAATCGCCGTTTAATCGGTCGACTAATAATCCAGGTGATAGTTTATGAGGTCTGGAGGGAGAGGAACGCCATAATTTTTACCGGTCAAAGAAAAATGCTACATTAGATACGCTTGCACATCGAAAATTTGATTCGGGACAACTTCCTCGTAACTCAAAAGGGGAATTACGATACTGATAATGTTATGTTACAGGATTGGTATTACCTTTATGGGAGCCGATAGCTATGGGTATTATTTTGAGGTAACGCTCTTGTAAATTGTCTTTGCTTGGTTATGTAAGGGGTTTCGACAGTCGAGGGCTGTTGGTTTTGGGTGCAGTCTAGGACTGATTGTGTAAACATTCTTTTTTGGTAATTATCATAATCACGTTTATACCAAAAAAAAAAGATTGAGAGTGGCAAAAGTCCAGGAAATACCGGTCACTCAAGGGTCAAGTTAGGTCAGTATTCACCCAAATCACGAAATCAAACGGAAACAACCTACGAACTCCGATTGCAATCAGAAACAGAACTGCTGATCAAACCATGCATCGAAAATCGATCTCGAGGGATAAAAAACAATCAACAATCAAAGAACACGGATGATCGAAATGGCAAACTCCTATTCTCTCAGCACAAATCTAAGGTCCGATCACCAAAACTACAAAACCCAGATGGTTAAATCAAATACTGAACACAAAACCCGCAAACCCAGAAGATTCAAGGACATGAAACATCCGAAATTACCAGGAACGGTGGGGAGGTTAGAACAATCCATCGCCCTCTTTCTGGAGAACACGAGGAGCTTCCTCAAGAAAACGAAGAATAAGAAGAACGGGACAACACCACCGATGACAATGGAGATTGCCGAGGGCATTTCCGGAAAAATTCTTCAGAGATTGTCCAGAACCAGAAATGAATACACTGTGATCTCTCTATGCGATACCCTTCACTGTATATATATATATATACACTTGAATGCAGACATGCAGAAAAGAAAAAGGTTTATCACTTGTAGCTTTTTTTTTTTTACTATGTATTGGTACTTGAAATTTTGGAAGTTTTATTTGGAATGTGTGAGTGATTGGGATAATCAATTTTTTGGATAAGCATTGGAGTTTTCCTTACTAGACAGCCATAACCTGTCTTGATTTCTTTTTTCCTTTTCGAATTTAAAATATTATTGTGTCTTAATTTGTTCCCTTTCGAAATTAAAAAACGCCATTATCATAAAAGGATTTATGCTATATAGATACAAATTATTTATGTAAGTGGTAATTAGTACTAGTTAGGGAAATGATGAGACAAAAATACGAAATTTGCAGTATTAGAAGTTAAATTCATATAATTCAAAGATAAAATGTAAATGATAAAAATTACTGTTTTGTGATTAAAAAAATTGTGAGAACTATAAAGAGAGAAATAAAGTAACGACAGGTGTAAGGGGTAATTATGAAGTACAAAAACCGAGCAAGATCTTGATATCAAAGAATCCAATAAACAGCCCAATAATATTTAAAGCATATCCCAAAAAAAATAATTGTTAAAAATATTTGATTAAAATTTATTCTATAAAATATCTAAAAAATATTAATTTTTTATTTAACTAGAAATATATTTAAATTATTTATCATTATAAGCGCTAAAAAAACAGGGGAGCGTGAGGTAAAATTTTCGTCATCTTTTTATAAAATTTCGTCACCCTTTGATATTAGACTATTAGTGATGAAAAAGCGATGAAAAGCAAATCGTACCCATCACGCCGTCACTAAATATGATTTCGTCATTTTGCGTCACCTTTTTGACGCGATTTCCGAGATCGAGAGTCTGATCATAATTTTCAGCATAGGGACATAGAAAATATACATTCGGGAGTTTGGAGGAGCAATTGTTACGGCCCAGATTTTCGCAGACGCAATCCGGGTCATAACGGTGAGAAAATGCGTCCATGGGCTAATTCGGGACGAGATGTTGATAAATCTAGAGGAAAACAACGGAAAAGAGGAATGAAATCGAAACCGAGAGATTGGATATCTCTTCAAGGTGTGTAAACACTTTTCTAAAACCATTATTCCGTCCGTTACGAGCAAGGACTACCAGAATACGATTTTGAGATACAATGAAGAGAAATACGTTCTAAAATTGTTCGTTCAAGAATGCACAGACAAGAAAACGTGATAAGAAGATGAACAAAAACTTTCGGGAGAGTTTTTACAAGAAACTTTCGAAAGTGTTCTCAAAATCTCTCAAATTTGGAATTCAATGCGTACTCAACTTATTCCGGCATCTTTAGTATATAAACACCAAAGAACATGTTACAGTCTGAGCTTTCGAATCACCTGCAAAACAAAACAAGAACGCAACCAAAACCAAATGCAAGAAACAGAAACAAAGAACAAGAGAGATTATATAACGAACGAAAATTTTAAAAAAAAATGAATGAATTGGGGTAAGGTGATAAAATTAAAAGTTCTGGAAAAATCTGTTATTTCAGTTAGGGTCTTTTAGAACGAAATAAAAGTTTGGGCAGAATTCGAAAATTTCAGAAAATATGGGATTGGACTGCAATTTTTGCTAGGGTTTCTTCTTCTTCTTCTTTTTCCTCCTCCCATGGCCGACCCTAACACCATTGTTGCCTATCTTCCACTCCGATTTGCCTCCTTGCTCGCCGTCGACCATCGACCATCGACCACCGCCCCGTGGCCACCGCTTCATCACCGTCGGTCCGTTTCTCCATCTTTTCTTAGTTTTTCTTCATCGTTTTCCTTCTCCTTTACCGCCATGGAGTTTTTCCGATTTCCGGCGAACGGAAGCTCGGTTTGGGTTGAGACTTGAAGGGTTTGAAAGCACTTGACGAGTTGAATCTTTTCTGGGTAGTGTCGTCGCCGGAAACGGTGAAACATCGCCGGAAAATCACCGAGAACCGTCGGAGAAAAACTTAGATCTAGGGTGATTTAAGCCGATTTAGGCCAAAATAACTTCGGATTTGGATTCCTTGATTGGTTTTACATAGGAAACAAAAAAAAATTAAATGATTCCGAGATGTATGACGGTCGCCGGCCACCGGCCGCCGACCACCACCACCGGCCACCGTCGCCGGAAAATTTTCCGGTGACATGGGTTGAACCGTTTCAATCCTGTGATTTCAAATCCGAAATCCGTTTTATAAAATTCAAAGTATTTAGAGATCTTCGAACGATTTAAAATAAGACAGTTTAACCGTAAGACTTACCATTCGATTAACGTTTTTTTTTTCGGTAGTAAATATTTTTTTGAAAAATAATTTGTTGATTAAGATTATTATATGATAATTAATTATTGGTGAAGAAAATCTCGAGGTTATTGAACCCGGGATCGAGGATTAGAGCAAATCTTTCGGAGTTCATCGTTTAGACTAAGGTGAGGGAACTCGACAGAACTCCTCTTTCTTCTATTCGCTTAGACATGATGATAGTGAACGTAGATATCATGTGGTTAGGATTTTAGGATAGACGCCTTAAATTTTCTTGTGAATTTATGATGCATGTTGATTGTTGATTGATGGCTGATGAGTGATGATTGATGATTGATGATTGATGATTGATGATTGATGATTGATGATTGATGACGATTGATGATTGATGAATAATGAATGATGATTGATGATTGATAAATTTCTGTTGAGTGATTATTGTTTGTGACGTACATGTTATGTGATGACGTTTCTTAATGGATTTATTGGATCGTTAGAATGAGTTGAACAGTGGATACTAATTAAATTTTGGCATGATGTTCGGAAAGATAGGAGAAGTAAAGAATTAAGTTAGGGACTGTGATGTGACCTCAGACTATGCTAAAATATTTTTAAAGTGAGTTTTGAGACCGTGGTACGGCGGCGATCCGTATGTGATGGTATGATAACAACCCGGGCATGGCTGCGATCCATGTGGAGTTATAACCCCGACTACGGCGGCGATCCGTAGAGGGTTACTGTTGGTTGTAATGCTCTAGGATAATCCGTAATATGACATTTTGACTTTGTATTGATTCATTGATTTATGAATGCATTACTTTTCCCGTTATATGATTAGCATTTGTTTTCTATTTGATTGTCTATGTTGGGTACAGAGGCGAGGTTTATAGTCTTGCAATTTCACTGAGCTATTCGCGTAGCTCACCCCTTCCTTTTTTCCCACAGGTGAAAGCTGAAACAGATTGTTTTGGTTGGACTCGATAGTTGCCAGAAACACGAAGAATTTGATTTTCTATTTTTACGAGTTTAGAATTTTAGACTTATGTTATTTTAGACTTCCGCTGTAGACATGTGATTTTGATGGTTGATTTTAGAGTAAATCGTATTTTTTTTATAACCCAAGTGACGATTCAATGATATCCGAAATACCGGATTTCGGGTCGTTACAGATGGTATCAGAGGCCCACTCTTTCCATCGGACTTTAAACAAAAATCTTCGTATGGTGTTAGAGACTCAGTTTATGGTAAAATAAGCATTCTAATATTGTTTGCCATGATGTGAACGTAGAATGACACCTGGTCGTGGACTAGGACGTCCAGTCCCAGAGGAGGGGAGATGTGGATATCCTCCCCAGCCTGATCATATGCAAGAAATGAGAAATTTACTGATGGAGCTCATCACTACTGTGAGACAACAGGGAGCAGTACCAGCTCCACAACCGGTCCCTGCACCACCACCGCCTTATGTACCACCGCCTCCACCTCCCGTACAACCGGCTGCAGCTCCTGCACCTGCACCACCTGTGATGAATGCGGAATTTTTCCAGTTCCTTGATCGAGTGGAGCGTCGTACAGCTCCAAGATTTGGTGGTACATCTGATCCAGCTGTGGCAGAGGATTGGTTGGACAGGATGACTCAGATATTTGATCTTATCCAGTGTCCTGATCTTTTTAGGGCACACATATCCATCTACCATCTGGATGGAGAGGCGAGACACTGGTGGAAAGGAGTTGCCCAACCATTTGGGGTAAACTATCAGTTCACTTGGGGACAGTTCGTCCATGCATTTCGAGAGAAATATTACTCACCTGGAGTACAAGAGGAGATGGCGATGAAGCTTATTAGCCTTCAACAAGGAAATCGTTCAGTGAAAGAATATGAGAGGGAATTCAATTCATTGGCTAGATATGGGGGTGAGATGCTGCAAACAGAGACCTTAAGGGTTAAGAAGTTCGTAATAGGACTTCGTCCATCTCTCAAGGCAAAGGTAGGTTTCGAACAACCACATATATATCATTGAGATAATGTTACCTTGCTAATTTGAGATTGTTTATCTATAGGTGGAACTTTTGAAAATCAACTCGATGTCAGAAATAGTTGATATGGCTGATCGAGCTGAGAGAACAGAACGTGAAATCGAAGCATCTACTAAGAGGTCGACTAACCCCAGTCATAGGCGTCTAGTCCAAGATGACAAGAGTAAGGGCAAGGCGGTTGTGCAACCTTATACATCTGGTATCCCGATGTGCTCACAATGTGGGAGACGTCACTTTGGCGAGTGTAGATTGCTCCAGATTACTTGTTTCCACTGTGGAAGGGCGGGACATTATAAGAGCGATTGTCCCGAGTTAAAAAGAGAAGCACCTAAGAGGATTGAACAAAGACCAGTTCATCAACAACCACCTGCTAAGAGACCAGCGGTGAAGCCTAGGGTCTATGCTCTAGGAACTGAAGAGCAAGAGGAAGAAGAAACGACAACAATCATAGGTATGT